AAGCGCGGAAATGAGGCCAGCGCTGCAGCGGGAACACGATTCGGAACGAGCGGAAGCACGGAAATGAGGCCAGCGCTGCAGCGGGAGCACGATTCGGAACGAGCGGGTCCCGAAAATGAGGCCGGCGCCTCAGCGAGAGCAGCATTTTGGAAAAAAGCAGGGGAAAACCCAACTCCGGGGAAACCTGTGTGTAAAAAAACAATACGCGGGGGGGGTCGGACACTCCCAGGCCGTCATCAGGGAAAGAGGGAGAGTAGTATTCATATTGAGTAATTGAGGAGGAGGAGGAGGAGGAGGAGGAGGAGGAGGAGGAGGAGGAGGAGGAGGGGGAGGGGGAGGGAGAGGGGGAAGGGGAGGGGGAGGAGGAGGAGGAGGAGGAGGAGGAGGAGGAGGAGGAGGAGGAGGAGGTGGCTTGGCAAATGACGCTAAGCATATAGATGTATGCCGATTGCTCGACAGGTTCCGAACGAACCCCACAATCACCGAATGAAATCGGACTCCGTGTGCACGCTGTCTTTTGACAGACGTCGCCCGGCCTGGAACTATGATTTCTGTCGCTTGCTGGTACGATTCCGAACAGGCCCAAAATCACCAAATTAGGTCAGGCCACCTGTGCACGCCATCTGTTTGCAGACAACGACAGACATATAACGGTTAATGATATCAATTGCCGGGTAGCTTCCGAGCAAGTCCCAAATCGCCAAATGAGGTCGAACCGCCTGTGCGCGCATCTGTTTGCAGACAACCACCGACCTAGAACAGTGGTTTCTGCCGGTAGGCCCAAAGTCGCCAAATTTCGGCGAACCGTGTCACGCTTTGAAAGAGAGAGAGAGAGAGAGAGAACAAAAAAAAGCAATAAATAAAGGGAGAGAGAGAGAGATATTGAGATACTGAGAGAGGGAGAGAGAGATAGAGAGAGAGAAGAGAGAGAGAGATAGAGAGAGAGAGACATATAGAGAGAGAAAGAGAGAGACACAGAGCGAGAGAGAACGAGAGAGAGAGAGAAAACAACACACACACACAACACAATAAAGCAAATGAGGGTGAGAAAGAGTGCCGGATAATGATAATATATGATAGGAGACAGAGAGAGATAATGATACATGGAGAGAGGGATAAGCACAGAGAAATCGATAAACAAGAGAAAGCGTGGGACATACATATCTATATCTATACACATGTATAGAAATGTGTTAGAAAGACAGAAATATAAAGTCAAATAAAGAGGAAACAATTAAAGAGAGAGAGAGAGAGAGAGAGTGAGAAAGAAAGAGACATGCAGAGGAGAAACAAAAGGTTAACAAAAGGGGAAAAGCAGCACACCAAATCAGATTGAAAGTGGCACATGGCACATGACTTGTCGAACTTATGTATCAGGAGGCACGGATCGATAAACGAGGAGCGAGGCAAAAAAACGTACCACGATGCGCAGGCATATGCACTCTGCTTTACCGCTGGTCTGGTTTGAAAGAGCAGGTGCTGCGGAACATCAGACGATGATCCAGGGGGGGGTGGCGGCAACGCAAGAAGCTGGGACACCACTTCGTGCTTCTGGGGCCGGTCGCGGGGAAGGCGGGCACACCCTCGTGCTGCCAGCTGTCGACCGCGTCCCTCCAGTCACGCGCGCGACCATGCCGACCGGCCTTGATGGAGAGGAGCTCGAGCGTCCTGGGCAGGAAGGAGATCGGCTCTAGGACGGGGGGCCGCCCGCTTGATGACGTCCACCGGGCCCTCATCGCTGAGCTCTGCGAGCACGGCGGCGCGCCCGTCGGGCGAGTGGACGCCCGGCGAGCCCGCGAAGACCGCCGCGGGCTTCACCTCGCGGCCAACCTCGTAGCCCAGGGAGTTGCCCTCTTCGATCACCCACCAGACACGCGTGCCAGGCGTCGCCGTCTCGTCGGCCTGCGGGATGCCGCCGCTGCCCTGGCCACCGCCGTTCACGTCAGAGCCAAAGTCACGAAGGGAAGGCTGTGCGGACTTCTCGCCCAGCAGGTCACAGCACGCCGCCCACCCGCCACTTGACAGCCTTACGGTCGGACAGGACGCTGGGATCTCATCGAGCCGCTTCGGGTCTTTCAGCGCCAGGGTGGCACCGCGGTTCACATACATTTTGATGCTGTCGTCCTCGAGATCGCTGGCCCTGAACTGATACACGGGGTCGGCGAAGGTGGCCGTCGGCAGCGCGGCGCATCCACTCCACGGGGCTGTCGTCAGGATCAACTCCCTCCACCGTCTCAACGTGGAGGTTCCCGTCGTGTGTTGCCACCACCCAGGTCTAGACTCCCTGACTTGGATGCCAGCAGAGGCCACGCCAGCAGTCGCTCATGCCAAAGGTCGTCCTCGGCGCAACGGACCAGGATCACGCCCCCCGGCACCAGGCCTGGCGATGATGCCACCGCCGGCATGCCGAGAGCGACGCGGGCACGCCCGCGCAGCGCACGGCGCCGAGCAGGCTCCGCAGCACCAGCCGATCGCCACCGCGAGCACCACGACCCCGAGCGGCAAGCAGCACCTCGCGCTGCCTCGCCATCGCTCGGACGTCCACTCCTCGTGTATTTTTCGATGTCTGTGCGTGCTTTCTTCGCCAAATGATCCAGGATGGTCCTCCATGGCCGTCGCCGAGAAGAAATGCACACGCCCGAGCGATGCCAAGCTGCTGCCCGTCGAGCCCGCGCCCTCGCGGGCAGGCGTGGGGCAGGCCGGGGCCTCCTCGCGGCTCGCCGCCCCGCGCGGCGGGCACGCCGCACACGGTCACCCCGAGCGCAGGGCGGCGCCCTGCGGCGCCGGGCAAGTGAGGGCCACCAGGGCGGGCCGCTGAGCACGGGCGCCGGGCAGGCGGGCGTCGGCGGGCAGGCGGGGCAGCGGCCGAGCCTCCCAGACCCCCTCGAGTAATGAAAAAATCACGACGGGAGGTTTTTCCGAATTTTCGGCCTCCGGGGGCCCTCGCCGGGCCTCGGGAGCGTCAAAAAAGGACTCAGGATGCAAAGCCGGTCATGGGGAAGGGGTCGGGACCTCTGGGGGTCGACGTAATGAAAAAATCATTACGTCGGGGGTCTGGGCTCGCGGCGCACAGGTGGGCCGCCCCGAGGCTGTCCGCCTGCGCCACGTGCGCCGCAGCAGTGCCCCGGCCCTCGAGTCGTCGCGAGGGCCGAGGGGGGCTCGCGAGGGGAAGGCTCGAGCAGAGGCAGCCACGCACGGCGGCCGGCTGACCGCACGGGGTGCTGCACGGAGCCGTGCGACACGCTGCACTGCCGTCGTCCCTCTTCCCGTCAGCTCTCATGGGCGGGGGCCTCTGAACGGGCTGCTTGGCCTCCGCGAAGCGTGAAGACTTGAAACCCAGACCCCCGACGTAATGATTTTTTCATTACGTCGACCTCCAGAGGTCCCGACCCTTTCCCCATGACCGGCTTTGCATCCTGAGTCGTTTTTTGACGCTCCCGAGGCCCGGTGAGGGCCCCCGGAGGCCGAAAATTAGGAATAACCTCCCGTCATGATTTTTTCATTACTCGAGGGGGTCTGGGGAACGGGCTGCTTGGCCTCCGCGAAGCGCGAAGACTTGAACACCCCGTGCCCTCGGCGGAAGCGCGTGGGTGCAGAGCCCCGCCGACTGCTGGGTCGGGCCTGCCTCGTCCCGCCCCCGCGGGGCCCTCCGCGGGGTCGGAGGGCGCAGAAGGGGGCGGAGGAGGAGGAGGAGGAGGAGGGAGGAGGAGGAGGAGGAGGAGGAGGAGGGAGGAGGTAGGAGGAGGAGGAGGAGGAGGAGGAGGAGGAGGAGTTGAGGAGGAGGAGGAGGAGGAGGAGGAGGAGGAGGAGGAGGAGGAGGAGGAGGAGGCGGAGGAGGAGGAGGCGGAGGAGGAGACGGAGGAGAGGGAGGAGGCGGAGGAGGAGGAGGAGGAGGAGGAGGAGGAGGAGGAGGAGGAGGCGGCTGCGCGCGACGGGGCCTGGACGAGGACGGCGTCGTTGGCGTGACCTGGCCCGCAGACGGGGAATCGTGCAGTCTGCCAGCCATAGCGCTCGTCTTCTAATGCGACGGCCTCAGCATTGCAACCGCCACTGCCAGCGTTGACGTCAGAATCGTTGTAGCCGCGTCGTCATCGACACCCCCGTCCTCGTTCTCATCAACGTGGTCACCATCGTCCATGCCGTTCCAAGCGCTGTGCCTTTGATTTCGATGGCGTCTCGCCGGAAGGTCCTACGAGAGGCTGATCATCGGCGGCGAGCCCATGGGGAATGAGAAAGGGAAGGGCGGGCCTTCGCAAAAGGCCCGGAAGTCCTCCGGCCCTCTGAGGCGTTTTCTACTAAGCCTCTCCGGGAGGCGCAGAAAACCTCTGGGAAGGCCGGAGGCCTTCTGAGAAGCCCCGCCGCCTTCTCAGAAGGCCGGCTCCTCCTCGCTTCCCCTCCTCGCTCGCCGCCGAGACTAGATCCTTAAAACAGGGCTAGGATCGGGATAAATCGCTCCAGAGCGTTCCGGAGCGCTCTCAGAGCGTTCCGGAACGCTCTGGAGCCGCCGCGGCGCCCAATACATCCTCCAAACCCGCCGATTCTCAGAGATTTCGAGCTATCCCGATCCGATTTTGTCCCGATCTTTGCGTCGTTTTGATCCTGCTCCCGCGGGGCGGTTCCATGGAGGGATCTCGCCTGCTCCGGTCTCGGGCCTGTCCCGCGGCGCAGGCGCGGTGCCCAGTGCGGGCTGCTCCCTCCCGCCGCGCGAGGCTCGTGCGCGCCCCGGGCCCAGATGATGGCGAGTCCCAGATCCTTCCAGAGACACGAGAACGAACGATGACTGTGGCCAACCCCGAAGGAAACCACGCCGACGAGGAAACCGAAGGTGAAGATCGTTCCAGTGGCGCTCCGCGCTCCGTGCGTGCTTGCTCGAGGACGGTGCGCGTCCCAGGAGCCCCTGGTCCACAGACGCCGCCGCCGCGGCCGCCGCCGCCGTCCTCGGAGACGCAGGCAGGGGGCCGACGGGGAGGAGAGGAGGAGGAGGAGGAGGAGGAGGAGGAGGAGGAGGAGCAACAGCAGCAGCAGCAGGAGGAGGAGGAGGAGGAGGGGGAGCAGCAGCAGCAGCAGGAGGAGGAGGAGGAGGAGGAGGAGGAGGAGGAAGCGGAGGGAAGCGGAGGAGAAAAAGAAGGAGGAGAGGAGATGAGGAGGAGGAGGAGGAGGAGGAGAGGAGGAGGAGGAGGGAGGAGGAGGAGGAGGAGGAGGAGAGGAGGAGGGAGGGGGGGAAAGGATTGCAGTCAGCAGCGCGTTGCCGATGCCTCCGAGGAGCGGCACGGCCCCGCCGACGCGGCTGGTGGCACGCGGGCGCACCCGCCCCTGGAGGGCGGTGCCCAGGAAGGCTGGGCGGGCAAGCCTCGTCCCAGGACCCCAGGGCCTACCACGAGGACGACGACGACGACGACGACGACGGCGACCACGACGACGACGACGACGACGACGACGACGACGACCACGACGACGACCACGACGACGACCACGACGACCATGACGACGACGACGACGACGACGACGACGACAACGACGACGACGACGACGACGACGACGACGACGACGGGTCTCAAGGACCGTTTGTGGCACCCTGTGCCGGCGGATGTCTTTCTGGGTTGCGCGGGCGGGGGGGGGGGGATTCACAAGGACCGTTTCTGTAGCACCTTGTGCCGGCGGATGTCTTTTTTGGTTTGCGCCGGGGGGGCGGGGGGGCGGTCACGAGGACCGTGTCTGTAGCACCTCGTGCCGGCGGATGCTTTTTGGGTTGCGCGGAGGGGGGGGGGGGTCACAAGGACCGTTTTCTGTAGCACCTTGTGCCAGCGGATGTTTTTGCTGGGTTGCGCGGGGGGGGGGTCACAAGAGCCGTTTCTGTAGCACCTCGTGCCGGCGGATGTCTATTTTGGGTTGCGCGGGTAGGGGGGGGGCACAAGGATCGTTTCTGTAGCACCTTGTGCCAGCAGATGTTTTTTTGGGGTTGCGCGGGGGGGGTCACAAGGAACGCTTCTGTAGCTCCTTGTGTCGGCGGTTTTCTTTTGGTGTTGCGCGGGGGGGGGGGGGTCGCAAGGACCGTTTCTGTAGCACTTTGTGCCGGCGGATCTTTTGTTGGGTTGCGAAGTGGTGGGTGGGTCACAAGGACCGTTTGCAGCACCTTGTGCCGGCGGATGTCTTTTGGGGTTGCGCGGGTGAGGGGGGGGGGTCACAAGGACCGTCGGAGGTTTTTTGGGGTTGCGAGGTGGGGGGTGGGGGGGGCGGGGGCGATCTGCAAGGTGGAGGGGGGTTGGGAGAGCCCTCCTCTACGGGGCTCGAAACTGTACACTACCACAACCGCCCTCGCCCCCCCCACCTCCCAGGAACGAGGAGAGGAAGAGGAGGGAGGAGGAATGGAGGTGGTGGTGGTGTATATTCTTGGGGCCCGCCGCATCGTCTTCCTCCTCCCGCGTTCACTTCTCCGGCATCTCGAACTCACCGTCGTCGACCATCTGCGTCAAGGTCGCGGGCGCCGTGCCGTCCACCGTGCAGCCCACGGCCCTGCAACTGCCGAGCACCTCTTTGACGGTGCCGCTGAACTCCTTGGCCTGGCTCTTGTCCCTCATCTGCCTCACGATGTTAGGGCGACGAGATCTATGCATATCCACTGCTCCTGGCCAGGCCAATCCTGGGCCCAGGAGCGGTGTATACGCCCTCCTGGCCTGGCCAGGGAGGCATATACACAGCTCCTGGGCCCAGGATGGGCCTGGCCAGGAGCAGTGGATATGCATAGATCTCGTCGCCCTAGATGTCGAACAGCTGCTGCTTAGTCAGGTTCCCGGAGTGCTTGATGTTCTTGGTCTTCTTGCGGTCGCGCATAGGCTCCTTCAGACCCTTGATGATGAGGCTCGTGGCGTTCGGCTCCACGTCCACCTTTGCCGCCCGGTTCTGGATCGTCAGCCTCGCCGCAGGACGCACGAGAGGGCGGGAGGGCGGGAGGAGCAGGAGGACGACGACGACGTCGGAGAGCGAGAACGAGAACGAGAACGAGAAAGAGGACGAGAACGAAAACGACGACGAGGATGAAAATCGTCAGCCTGACCGTCACGCGGATGCCCTTCCACTGCGAGGTGCCCTTCACGATATCGTCTCCGATCTTCTTGGGAGACATCCCCAGGGGCCCCACCTTCGGTGCGAGCACGGAAGATGGAGCCTGCTCGCCGCCATACTGCCTAAGCTTGACGATCTTGACCTCGTTGGGGTCAAACTTAGGCGCCATGGCAACCAGAACGGGAAAGGCTGGCCCACGGAGCCGGCTGAGCCAGGGCGGTGGCTGGAAACCTTGAGCCGCAACGGCTACGGAAGTTGATCGGTGACGACCACGATGTCGATCATGGTGATGATGATTACGACGGCAACGACGACGCTGATGAATGGGGACGGTGACGATGACACTGCTGATGCTGGCGATGATGATGACGATGATGAAGACTACGGGGTCAACGACGAATCTGGTGATGCTGATGAGGATGGTGGTGGTGGTAATTGCGATGGTGGTGGTGATGATCGTGATGATGGGGATGTTCGTGGCGATGGTGATGAAGATGATGGCGACGACGACGATGAGCGACGGTAGCAGATGACGATGATGATGATGATGACGATGTTTACGGTGATCCTGATGATGGTGCTGATGACGAAAACGATGGCGACGCTGGTGACGATGATGGTGATGAGGATGATGCTGGTGGTGATGATTATGGCAATGTCGAGGATGATGATGCTAGTGGCTGCGATGATGATGACAATGGTAATGATGATGGTTCTGGCGATGTTGATTATGATGATGATGTTGATGATGACGACGGTGGTCACTGCGCCTGAAGAAGTCAGGAGATCCCAGCTGATACTGCCCCTCGGACCGAGGCGTTTCCCTGTGGCCCCGCGGCGGCAACGCACGGTCTCGTTTCTGGGGCAACCTCGCAGATTCACCTGACTGCCCCGAAACTGCGCATTGCCCCCGCCGACGCAAGCGGCGAACGGCACCAGAGCTGCCACGGCGACTCAGCCCGTAACAGAAGCACGCGGGGCAGTGCAACGACAGGCGGGCTGGCGCTCAGCAGATGCAAGCGCCAGCGCAGCTTCATTGAACAAAGACATGCCGCGGCCAGGGCCAAGCGCCCGCAGCCAGCGGCGGCATGCAAAGTCACGCCCAGCGACGCGCGAACGCGGAGAGCCCGACCCTGAGAGTTGGTATCGAACCACCTACGACCACGGTTCGGCCTCACATATAGAAGGCCGGCAGCACGCACGCGGCGACAGGCGAGCGGGCGTGGAAGCGAGAGGCCACGAGCCAGGCCCGGAAACGAAGCCGCGCACACTAAGCGTGCGGCAAGAAAACTGAGCAGCAGCAGAGCAACTGTCTCAAGGCTCCTGGCCCGACGAGGGGAGCTGTTACTTTACTGTTGCCGTCTGAGCCCGATCCCATGCGTCGGCGAGCCTGCGCACCTGGGTCGGCTTCCGCATTGCGCCCGAAACCGCGCGCCGCAACTTATAAAAGCGCGCGCCGACCCTTGCCATGCGCACTGAATGCGGCTAGCGAAGCGCCTAGCCACCAGCAGAGCAACTCGTCCCAAAGGCACAGGCCACTTTCTGGACTGGTTGCCTAACCGCTAGCATCGGAGTCCGACCCCGTGTGTGAGCGGATACCAGCACACCTGGTTCGTCCTCCGCTTGAAGCGCGCCTGCGACGCAGGCGCCGTCGGGCACCGCAGGACCTTCTGCGCGCACCGACCCGAGGCCACGCCCGCTGGGCAAAGCGACGAGCATTGCCCAAATCACGGGCGAAGCGGGGATCTGCCGCCAGCCAGCGAAGCTGCACTAAACAGGCAGGCGCCGGCATGCCGAGCGCACGCAATCGCGCAAATCTGATAGCCAACGCTGAGCAACACTACCCCACAACATAACGCCCAGGACATAGTTGCTCAGCGATGGACGGAGCCAAATTCAGGGCGTCGGTAGCAACCAGCCTACGTCTGTGGTTCAGCCTCCAATACGAGTAGCAGCATGCACCAAGCCTACGCCGCGCACGCTGTCCGAGCGGCGAGCGACACGCCTATCCAACAGCAGAGCAACTCCTCCCCAGGGCACCTGGCCACACACTGGACCGATTTCTTTGCCGTTGGCATCAGAGCCCAATCCCGTGCGCGGGCAGCCTCCACACTTGGCTCGCATTCCGCTCGAAGCCCTGCCTCCGACACGGAGCCCCGCCGAGGCGCCGGGCGGAAACGGCGCGCACCAAGCCGACGCCGCGCATGCTAGAACGGAGGGGTCAGCACGCACTGCGCCTGACCATCCGCAGCGCATCTCGTCCCATAGGCTCCTGGCAAACAATGGCCTTATTGCAATGCCCGTGGCATTGGAACCCGATCATCTGCGTCGGCTAGCCTGCGCGCATGGCTCGGCTTCACGCAGCTAGAGAGGCGGGCGACTGCTCGCCCGCGCGTCTGCGGAGGCGCCAGTCCAAGCGGTGGCAAGCGAGCGCGCATGCTGCAGCTGGTCTTCGTTTTGTCAGGGCCTCAGGTCCCTCGGCGGCAATCAGTGCGACGGCCCCCGCGAGCGCGCAGCACGTGGCCGGCGGGCCCTGGCCGTCTGCGTTGATATGCGCCGCCTTGGCCCATGCCGCGATCGCGTGAGTGACGTGGCCCAGCAATGGGTCGTTCGAGGGGCGCTTGCCGACCTGGAGGCTGAGGCTGAGGCTCTTCCCCGATTCACGACAGCAGTGGACTGCGTTGGCTTGTCTCCTCCACGTGGTCAGCTGCGGGGTGGGCCAGCCAACCGCGCTGGGACCGCATCGCGTGGCTGGGCGCAACCCTGCATCGGCGACCCGCTCCGCGGCTGGCGTCTCCTGGGAGCGAATCGCATGCGGCCTCTGCATCTGCAACGCCACCTTCGAGCAGCGCTTCTCCATGACTACGGAGGCCTGGCCGTCGAAGCAATTGTCCGCGTTCTTCGCGGACTCGGCGATTGGAAACGCCGCGCCGCCCACGCGCTTGGCGACCAGCGTGGCCAGCTCAGGCGAGCTGGCTAGGAGCACGCTTTCGCCTCCGAGACCTTGCATCCCAGAGAGCCTGGAGCTGCCCCGCCGCCGCCCTGGCCGCATGCGCCGCGCGCCAGCCGCCAAGCCCCTCGCACCCCATTCTGAAATCGATGATGATATACAGGCATGGCGTTGCTGAGGTCCGCCGCCTTGTGGGGGTTCAGGCGGTCGCTGCCTACTCCCGTCCAGCGTCCGCTGAGGGTCTTAGCGGGCGGGGGCGATCCCGTTTCCTCGCGCACTCGCCACGCTTAAGATGTCACTGCGCGGCCGCAACTTTTTCTCGTTCTGGCCCACGTGCAGGGTCTCCGTCGAATTCATCGTCAGTGGCCCAAGGGAGGGCCGCATCGCAGGGCGCGCGACCCTCCGCCCCCTGCTTCCATGATATGATTGGTCCACTCCTTGATGCCCTGGCATCTTGTAGTTGCGAAGGCCGCGCCCTCCGCCTCAGCCTCGATCCTCGATCCTACTGCCCACTCGTCCGAAGGCGGGAACCCTTGCCAAAAGGCCGCCAGGGCCGCCCAAGCAGCCCGGCGGGCGCCCAATGGTTGGCCCACCAAGCTCGGGGGTCTGGGCCCTTGGCGCAGCTGCCCTCCGCGGCTGGGGCCCTGGCTGGCGCTGCCGGGGCTGGCGTCGCCACTGTCTGGCGGGGCCCCCCCGCGGTGCCGCACAAAGTGCTTGACCGACCGAATGAAGCCGCAAAGCTCCTCGTCGGCCTCTGCGCAGCGGTCGGGGTCGGCCGGTCGCCGCCAGCTCGCTCATGAGCAGCAAATAGCGGCGCGCGTGGCCTCGGTGGCAGTCCAGCCGTTCTCGCAGAGTTCCACCGCCCTTGCCCCGCGCGCGGCTGCCCCCTCGCTGAGGGGCCCTGGCTGCCGGGCAGCACCCGCTGCCGCGCCGCCACCAGTGGGTGCCTGGGCCACTCTGCCAGCTCCACCTTCTGCTGGGCCATCGATTGCTGCGACTGCGTCGCCTGGGTCGCCCTGCGCTCTGCGCTGGGCGTCGGCGTTCCTGCCGCTGCTCTCGCATTGGCTGAGGCGCGCGTGCGCGTGGTGCCCCGTGATCTCGCGCTGCGTTGACAGCGTGCGTGCGGGGGTCCAGCCTCTTCCGAGACGGCGCGGGGCCCGCCTCGCACCTGCCGCGCCCGCGCCCGCGGCGCTCCATCTTCCCTCGCCCACGTCGGCGGGCGCCCCTGGCGCAGAGCGCTGGGGGAGGGGTGGGCCGAGCGCCGCGTTGAACCGAATGCCCCAGGCCGTGCTGCGCGCGCGGTTCCAGCGGGTGGGAGCCGCTGTCGGCGGCCACCCGTGGCGCCAGGGGCGCTCCTGTGAGCGGCCTGGCGCAGTCCTCGCGCTCCGCCAACCGCCTCCTGGACTCGCGGTAAGTAGTTGTCGATGGCCCCGCGGATCTCCATATGTCAGCTCACGCGGTCGAAGAGGGGCATCTGATAGAGGATGCGCGCCGCGTCCTACCTGCCGCCTGCCCCGCGACGCCGCGCCGCTGCGCGCGCGTCGATCGCGGTCTGCGCGCGGACCTCGAAATCCTGCGCCGGGCCCGCGGCGACGCGGGCGGGTGAGCCATGCTGAAGATGCGCGGTGCGCAGAGGTTCGTTCACTCACCCATGTCTTCGTCGCGCGGGTTGCGGCCGCTCGGGTTGGATGCCCAGCTCCGCGCTCGGCGCCCCAGTGTCCGCTTGCATCTCTTTCTGGCCAGAGATGCCATGCGCCCAGCTTCGCGCCGCCGAAGGCCCCGGTCGACCTGGGGGCCCTGCGCCGCCCTCTCGACCGAAGCGACCGTCGGCGCCAGCTCGAGGCGGACCTGCGCGAAGTCATCGCTCAAGCGTGTCATCTTCTTGCCCTTGTAGCTCGCCTTGGGCCCCTTCATGGGTCGAGCGCGCCTGTGCCCCGAAGCTGAAGCTCGAGGGGGCCCCGCGTCCACGGCGGCGGCCTTCGTCGCAGGGGTCGATCTGGCGCGCCTGGGCGAGCTCGCCCTCCGCGGCCGCGCGCAGGTCCTGGCGCGCGTCGGCGCGGTCGTCAACCGCCGCTCTGGTCGGTCTGCGCCCGCGCCACGTCGTGCCCCCACGCCCTGTCGGGCAGCGGCCCGCTGGGTCGAAGCGTGGGAAGGGCCATCGGGCCCTTGGCCACGAAGGACTGACCGAAGGCACCGCTGCACTTCAGGGAATACTTGGCCGCCGCGTGGGGCCTGCGATAATCAGCGAGCCCGAGCTCGGTCCTGTCGATGCGATGGCGCCCCGCGACCCGAGCAGGC